AAATATCATTAAAATCGACTACAACTGTCAAAGCAGGCACGAACACCATTCGTGCTACGCCTTGAAAGCAGCACACATCCGCTCGTTTTCGTCTCGTCAAGTATGTGCATTGGAGCGTGCTATCGAATACGATCTTCAGATAAAAATGCCGGAGTTGCGCATCATGTTGTTTAATGTCATTGGTTCTTCATAGTCAGTGTTGGGAGGCCGAATCATTGACTCGAATTGAGTTGGATTCGTGCCACTATTTATCGAGTCATGTGAAGAAAATGACTCGGACATTCATGGAATTCTCGCCGGTAAAACTTATCCCAGTGATTGACTTGTCTTTGGACACGGGCTCATCTCGAGTGGCTCCTAAATTGACTATACTTTTCACTAGGGTTTAAAGATCCTTAACCTACACTGTTTACAGAAATGATAATATCTACTTGAGAATTGAGAGCAGGGGTTCTAAAACTTTTTGGAATTTTTCAAGTCTTGCGCCCCATCTCAAAAAAAAAAAAAAACTAGCTAAGAAAATTAGCTACAAATAACAGATACTATAAGGCGAAAGTATGTTTTATATAAAAAACAACTTTTAAAGATGGAACCTAAATATCCAAAATAAAGCGGGCAAGTGTATAACCGCTCCACTGTGTGAGAATCTCTACTTTAGAGTGAATGCTTGTGAACAAAACGCAAATACAAAAAATCATTCAGCAGAATAAAACATTTTGTACCAAGTTTTTGCGTGCAATTTCTGTACATCAGAGAGATAAAACAAAAGTCGAACGCATTGTTCCAAACTATCCATCGTATTTCTGACAGTACTACCTCCAGAATAAGTTACTAATGATTTTTCTACTTCCGCTATGTAAGTTTGAAAATTCTTTCAGAATAACCAGTAATCATTTCTCTATCTTGCGGTGAGTAAAACGCATTTTGTATTATTCTAGGACATTTAATCTGCAGATCAAAATAGCAATGTTTTAGCTAGATTCAAAATATTTTTACAGAACGGCCGACTTCTGCATAACGACGGAAAAACAGCAAATTTGCCGTACGAAGTGTGGATTCCTACTTATCCATTACTCGATGCATCATATAAGAACGTGTTGATAAAAATTGCAGAAGATCCCGGAGATGTCGGACAGGGAGTTTTCATTTGGCCTTACATACCGGACAGTGCACTTACTGGATCGCTCTGTAAGACTTAAAACGAGTAGAAATGTACCGTAATGATGTCTTTGGTTTTATGAATTGCATTTCAGTAATGACCTAATTAATGAGCAAGAAAAAGGGAAATCTTTCTTATAATTTACCGTATTTCATATCTTTGTTTCTAACAAGGCAGCTTTATTTTTATGTAGGTTGAAATATTTTATGAAATTTTAAACTTGACGACAAAACACATAATTCAACCTATTTACAGAAGAAACTGTGTTTTTGTTATTTAGGTTATTGGACATAGCCTCACACTTCTTTACTTTACTGACAATTGCGTATACCAGTGTTCCACAAACTACGTGTCGACACCCCAAACTGAAAATCATCTTGGGTCGCCTGAAGTTTTCAACGAAAACTTAAAAGTCGTCGATTTCATTTTCTAATAAATTTTAGTGGTAATTTTTTTTTTCGTTGTTATGAAATGTTGCTCAAGCGCTGTTTTCTTTCTTTTGCAGGAAAAATGTCATATAAAAATGTTTGATTTATCATTAGACATTTAATTCTTCGGCCATAGAAGCACTAAATGCCGTTTACCATGTGATCCTTGGGTCGCAAGATTTTTCCAATTTTATTTTTTGTTACGTAAGTGGACCTATGGATCGTTTTAGTATAATGTTGTTGTTCTTCTTAGAAAAACCGCTTTTCTCTTTGATTACTGGACCAATCGCTTTGGTTATGTCCTTTGCTTCTTTATTTCAAGTGTCGCGTTGCTGTTTTCATTAAACGACTAATCCGGAATCATGGGTATTCTGATTTAAACAGCAGCACAGTAAAAAAAAAACGAACTGTGACACAGGCACAGAGTTTCTGACTGTGAGTGCTTTCAGGTATGGATATATATATATAGCAGAACATAAAAGGCCTTGGTTTGGGTTTGAACCGAGCAAATGAACAGTGATGGAGTTGCAAAAATATGGGACCTTCAGAAGTATGCGCACCAAGATGGCGCACAACCTGAACATAGTATGTGTGTACCGATTAGGTTTCGGGTTGTGCGCATTTTGATGTTTTTCTTAGGAAGAATTATAGGTCTCAAAACGGAAATGAGGAAAATACCGATAACGTAAATGTAGAAATAGGCAAGGACATGCGTTGAGAGGTGAAAAAAAGCAAGAAAAGAAAGTGCTAACTTGCAACCGAATTTGTTAAAAAAAAATACACAGAACTTGCCTTCAAAGACTTCACACTAGCTCCCGGTAGTGAACAAACACCACAACCTTTATGTTTAGTATTTTTTGAACTTCTCGTTTTAGAACTCGCTCAAAACTATCACTCAAAGCACAGCAGTCCTAAAGACAAACAAGCTGAATGTTTTGAACGACAACCCTCCGACATGAGCTTAAAATAGGCGACTGAAAAATATGACAACTTCAGAAAAAATCTCTCCTTCGTGCATCATATTTAGTTTATTTTCACATGGCTAAAACACGAAAACCGTACACACTTGGGTAAGAGTTAGTAAAGCCGTTTATCTCACCTACAGCTGATGAGAATTAGGGTTCTGAGCAGTTTGAAAATCGGAGATCATTCCACTCTCCAACAACACAGTTCTGCAAAGTATTGAAGATATGATAATAAATGCCGCGCAGCAGATTGCAGAGAAAGTGAATATGTCGCATGTTTTTCGATTCAACTCTATAATTAAAAAAATAAATAGAAAATTGTGCAATATTCTCTTGTAGGGAATTCCCTATATATATATATATATATAAGGGAAAAGTGGATTTCAAAAAAGTGCTCCTCCGTTGCATTAATTCATCAAGACGTGTCACCGGGGCGGAGGTATTGTCACGGACCGTAATGTCCGTGTTTGTTTGTAATATAGTTTTGTATTTCCCTGTATGCTATTTACCAGACCTTCGATTGGGCAGTTTGAACCGGGTCTAACCTCCAACCACCCATTACACATGCGCGAGAAAATATACCTCTAAGGATAGGCTCCATCATATGGTGAACCACGCCTCTCGTCAATGTTGGGTATGGGATTAGTTAGCTGTTTGTTTTCGGAAGCATGGACTTGATGGTAGAGGAAGCCGTAACCAACCAGCAGTTACGTAAACCACCTAACAGCGGCGAGGAGTCCAGCAATCCTCTCGCACATAACTATCCCCGCATGGGATTCGAACCTGCGAACCCATGCAGAGTAATCAGAGCGGTGGCAAGCGTATTCCTAACGCTTAGCACGATTAGTCACACCGCCGCTGTTGCTCTCTCAACTTCTGTCGCTGGGCTGTTGCCGTACAATAAACAATCAATCCAGAACCCTTGAGTCTTCGGACATATCTACAACGACTGTAACCAAATCTGTGACAGTAGTTTTTGAAGTATTATTAAGGCACATCTTCCTTCGCATTGTCATGATCGATTTTGTGCATTCGGGACGATTGACTGGATAACTGTATCTGTACTTGGACCGGTCGTTGTTTATGCTTTATCATACATGAAATTCGAAAAAAAATGAGATGGGCGGATCACTCGCACGTAAAAAGATTATTTAAAATACATAGCTATATCCACGCCTGACAAAGATATTCGTGGACTCTTATATGCATTAGAAAAGATTTTGGCGCTGTCGTTGGGGATAAATATGAAAATCTCATTTTACTGTCCGTAAATCCACATAAAATATAATACGCAGTCTTATATATAAGCAATTTATGTCTAAAAAAAATTACACTTGTTCAATGTTTGAACAAAAAAAATAAACACAACGATATTTATTCAAGCACAGTTATTTACAGAAAAAAGGCTGATTGCGAACCCAAACAGATTCCCAACTTTTGTTATTCTCTTGTTAACAGGTATGTTGGGTTGAAATTTGAAGACTTCTCGGTGTTGGAGTTGAAGCAAGAGCGGTATATTCGAACTCCCGGAGTCTCAGTCAAAAATTTGATATTTTGACGTTGGGTATCGGGCTCAGATTCCAAATTTTTTTTAAAAGAGAGGAGTCGGACTCAAAATCATTTTACTGAGAACCATTTTGTATAACTGAGAGTCGAAAGATGATGGAACTCCAGGTGTACTGCATAGCGCTGCTTGATAGAGTTATAAAGTGAGAAACAGTCAATAAATTTCAGCACAAGTATAGGTTTACTTTGACTCAATAATCAGCATAATAGACAATTTCAAATTAAACTGTTAAGTTTTCAGGTATACCAATAAAATACTGAAAAAATATACGCTGAAGAGCCCGAAACATCAGAAATTATAAACGTGAAATATAAGTTAGGTCATATATATGAGATCATATATATTTTATGCTGGCATGAATCCGGGAGTGATGTGCCAACCAAGTTAGTGTCTAACCACAGTCAAGTTAATTTTTTATTCAGCAAAATAAAAACCATTATAAATGCAAAATTACGCCAAATATAATAAATGGTAAGTTACACGCGTAACTGCGCGTATTGGATTGTTTACGCTGTTCTACGCGCATTTCCGTCGAGAAAAGTAACATTTTTTGCATTGGGGGGGTTTGTGCAGTAATAATTAGAGCTGTGGCGTCATCAAAATCGGTAATTGAAGCGTTGAACATGATAATTCTGTAAATACAATTGTGAATTTCAGAGTAACCATTTTTGCTATAATAGTCGTTTTGATATTGTTCTGTTGGAAAAAAACTTTACGAAAACGTTGAAACAAAAATTAATTAATTAGGAATTAGTAATTAACCCTCTCCTGTACACAGAATATCTCAAGGTCAAGGTTTTTATTAGAAATTTTCAAAAATTTTTCGCATAAAATTTTTTTTTTGGAGGAGTGTGTTTTAAGGATATATTGTTGAATAGAATTCTAGCACACGCTTTTAAAAAGCCATGAGTGAAGCATAATCGTTGACAAAAAAAAAATGCATGGGTAGGGGTTTGCGCGCCGAGAAGGTTAACCTCGAATGATACATAAACATTTCAGATAGAACTATCATATTAGACTGACCTCTGGTAAACATAATGGTACCAGGCAAATATGGTTCACTATGTTGGACTACTTTACATTGAGTCTCTATATCACACAACATTTGCTATTAATATAAGCATCATATAATGAAGCATTTAAATGTTAAAGCAAGAGAGCAATTACAGATAAGTATGAAATATTTTGAAAAATCGAACTCTACCAGTTCAATACAGAAAACACAAACCATAGCTTTATTACACTTTTGCAATATTGACCGACAATGCCGCATTCGCTCCACGAATACTAAAGCAATAAGTGAATAATCAAAGTGAAAGGTAATTTTTATTGGATTTTCCCTCTTAGGGCATTTGTTTTAAATGACTGAAATTTGCTCGTTCAATTGCATATTGCAGCCCAGAAATGGAAGAAGGGCTGCACGAACACGGGTTGCCCGAATTGAACATGTAAAAAAATAATTATAAATGCAAGATTTTCGATTTACCGTCTAGCGTGCTATCAGCTTAGAATACCAATTAAAAATTTTAAAACAAGTTCAGAATTCTAATTTTCATTATAAAACCTTGGACGTGGCAGGAAAAATTGATGAGGTACACTGGCAGACTCGATTGATGCAAATGGCAAATTTGCAGCTATGGTTTTTCCAAATAAAAAAGGGGGACAAGAATTATGCTCAAGGATTCAAATGCAACGTTAAATGTTACAAATATCATTGAAAACATGTCTTACTAAAAGCCACCATTGAAAACAAAGAAATCAAACACTTAAAATAAAAGTGAATTATAATTGATAAAAGAGTTGCAAGTTTGCTCAAAGCAAAATCTCGAGCTCTTAATCTCGAGCTCTTAACTAAATTGGGAAAGAGCACTGATAGAAGAGCTGCACAAAAGTTTGGTTACATTTCCTTATATGCGTTTAACATTCAAACAAAGGTGCCAGTAGATAAGTGGGATCAATTGGCATAATAGTTTGTAGAAATTCAAATGAAAAATTTCAATTTCTGGAAAATGTTCACCTTGGAGATGTATGCCCATAGAAATAAGTTTTAACAAAGTATTGGATTACAAATTTTGAAACACTTCTAGTTTCCTTCCACGAAAATAATTTTTACTTTTTTGCCTAATATATAAAGCTTTTAATATTGAAACCAGGGATGGGAAGCTGGTATATTCAAACTGTAGCACCAGATCACGGCAGTGGAACATGAAACCTTGATATAACAGTTCGAATTCTAAATTAAAAAGTGAAGTATCAAGCATACAGATTTTCCTTATAACTTCTAAACTGGCGTTACAAATTGAATACAGTATTGAAAAAAACAAGCTAAAAAGCACATGTTACGAAATATTGGAAAGTGAAAAATAATTAGTTCTCAAACTCTAGTTAAACTTTCATCCACCGTAATGAATAAAGCTATATAGATATTGAACTCATTCCAAAATATGTTATTTTAAAAATCTAGATAAAATGCAAAATTATATTGGATTAGAGAAAATGTGTTTTGCGGCGACCAATTCATGTTATCTCATAATATTTATAGAATATCAAAATGGAAACAAAACACAATATTCATCTAATATTAGTCCACAGGAAAGCTTGATTTTCAACCCAGACCAAATTACTCCATGTACGAGTAAACTATAAAGACCATGAAGATAACAGCCACAACAGCAACGCATTTTAGAACAGTGTCGTATTTAGCCTTCTTTGGCTTTACAAGAGGATCTTCATCTTCATCTGAGAAGGTAAAAAAGAAATATTATCAACCTACATTGGTGAAAAGTCCAGGATTATTCCCAATGAGTTTCAAACCTGCGAATCAACGCGGGGTGATTAGAAATAGCAAGCATATCATAAACACTTATCAAAATGCACCAAACAGCACTTAATCAGAAGATCGTTATCCAAATTAGAGTTTGTAATGTTAAAATTTGATTTCAGTGATTGACACATCGTGCTAACTTTTAAGAACACGGTTATCATCACCCCTCTGGCTACGCCATGTGAGTTTGCAGATTCGAATACTTTGGAGAGATAATTTTGTTAAATTATTATTGCATTGCTGTACTCCTCTTTGTCATAGAGTGGTTCACATAACCAACAGTCAATTTCGGCTTTCTCCGCCATCAAGTCCATGCATCAGAAACAAACAACTGGTTAACGAATCCCATATATAGCACTATACGAATAGGATTTACGTATTTTGTCCGGGATAGACGAAAGGCAATAACACGACTTAACAATATGGCGAACCATGGCCTCTCATCCGGTTACCAGTTCATGTCGGGTATGGCATTAGTTAGCCAGCTATTCGGAAGCACTTGATAGTAAGGTAAGCCATAACTAACCAGCAGTTATGTTAACCACCTTACGACGGCGAAGAGTCCAGAAAATCAGCAAATTGAATAATTCTTCCTATTAGCTTTCCTCCTCCCAGGAACAAATACAAACATCCTGAAAATTACCTTGATTTGTAAGTGGTTCCCCCTCTCCATCCTCTTGATCTGCTACTCTTCTCCTCTGTCTCACATCATCTCGATCTGCTTCTCTTCTCCCCTGTCTCACATCATGTTCAGGAATTCCTGGGTCCATCGGAGGAGCTTCTGGGGCTGAAGAAAAGGAAATATAGATCAGGGGTGTCAAACTCGTTAATTTTTGAGGGCAGCATTGCATTTTGGGAACTGTGCAAAGGGCCGCAAACAGTTTTTGATATATTTCGATAATGTATACTTGAAGCATATTTTTAGATGGATGATGTTTGTAACATACCTATATTGTGATACGTGATGTAATTAAACAGCCGAATAAAATTTTGTAATTTTCCTAAATTTCAAATTCAATTTACATATTAATTTTTGCATTTCAATAATATTGCAATTTACTGTATTTGTTACAAGAAATCATAAATTTTTATGTATAACTATTCAAAACATTTTTGAGCAAAGTTTTGATTAGGAAAGAATATTATATACACTGAAAATGATTTAATCTAAATATATAAACTCAATGTTTTTTATTACATATGTCCTGACGTTTGGCATCCCTTGTGTGCCACCAGCTTACTAATATCAGGCTGAAATGATTTTACAGTACCAACTACAATTAACGAGGTCACATCTCACATGATCATCGGTTAATCTGGATCGTTGAGAATGTTCATTTAATTTCAATAATGCAAAAATATTAAGTTTATCATTGTATAGTTCAGTAAACAAACAAATGACTGACTTTTCGGACCAGATAGTTCCTGTTACATTTCGCGACATTTACTACGTCAGTTATGATTGATATCGATTTTTAGTAAATAGGTAGTTGTATAATTATAATAATATACAAACACATAAAAAATTTCTGTTCAAAGTTGATCTTTAAATTTGTCATATTGACTGCTGATCTTATTCTGATAATGTCTACTTATATTGTATTCTTTCATTGTACTGATGGAAATGTGACAAATTAAACAGTGTGCTTTAGAATTTCGAGAAATGCAGAAATATTGCAACTCCCAATTTTACTCAAAAAGGCCACCTTCTTCGTGTACTTTGCGTTTCATTTAATCCCTGGATTTTTTTTTTTCAAGTATTCTTTTGCTAGCTTGAGGTGTATCCATAATTGGGCCAAATTAAAAACAAAGAAAAATTAATTTTCTAAAACTACTTTCAGTAAATTGCCGTTATCTGTGTGGATAATCAATTTCACTTTGAAAGGTTTGAAAAATGTATTACATTTGAATAAAAAAAATATATATATTACAAGCGTTATTAAGTGTGTTATTAATTATTAAGCGTTCGAGGGCCGCATTGGAAGTTCTCTGGGGCCGCTAGTTTGACACCCCTGATATAAATGAGGAGGAAAGTGTTCAAACAGACATGATAGACTGCAGAAAGCTTCCTTACATTTGAGACTTTGGATGTGCGCAAAGCAAATTGACCAATTACTAGTTTGACAAAAAACAGCTCCTACTGTCGACTTGAAGATTTGAAAAAATTCATCACAAGAACTTCAATATTTAAAATCATTATTTCATTTAAAAATTTGATGCGAAATCTCTCCTATACGTTGTGTGAGAGAGGAAAGGGTTCAATGACCTATAACAGGGATACTCAACTGGCAGACCGCGGTCCGCATCAGGACCTTTTGGGTATTCGATACGAACTGTGTCTAATTCTTAATTTTTGGATCATTAGCCCCACTTTTGAAGTTTTCTTCAATTTCTAGAAAGACCGCACCTAAATATTTTTGAAGTTTTGTATGCAGATCTTTGGTAAAAATAGTTGAGTAGCCCTGACCTTGGGTAACATGGAGCCACGATTCAATAAAACGTGTTTCATATTTTGCATATTTGGAAATCTCGAAATTCTCTACTTTTTTTTTTGATAAATGAAAATAAGAGATATCCCCCAAAATGGGCCCTAGTGTTATTTGAAATAAGACCTAGTATTAGCATGAAGCTCTTCCATTACTGCTCATCATGTCAAAATGGTCTGTGAGCAAAGTGACTGACAAAGTGTAAAGAGTTAATGAGACTATAAAGAATTTTGATGTAAAATGCACTCTAGTACCAGCAAACCGCTATGAGCTAATAAATCACACATGACTGAAGTTTTCGGAAAACAAACTTCGAGCATAAATTATTTGTTGGTAGGTAAAGAAGATGAGCACTGACAACCAACAAAGTTTGATGCTTGGAAACTCCGACAATCAGTAACATAATAGCAGAAAATAATCAACGCAGAGTCGCAAACTCCACTGTTCAAAACAAATATTTATTCATTACTTACGTGGTCCAGAGCCAGGAGGTATTTTTTCACAGTCTGTCCCTGTTGGAAGAGCTGCAACATTTGGCCGAGGTTCTTCAACATACTGCTGTGATTCAACCTGAAAAACATTTAGATTAGGTAGGACTGAGATTCATCATATTTATCCAAGGGAGAGAGGAATGCCAATAAGATGGATGAATTATACCGCGACCATGGCCTCTCATCCCATTGCCAGTCCATGTGGAATAGGATAGGATTTTTCATATTATCTTGGGGGAGAGCAAAGTCAATCAGATGTCCAAACAACGCCCATTTACGAATCCCTGTCAGTCAGATAAAAGATAATTTAACTAATTTTTGTTCACGATGCGTGGATTTGATGGTGGAAGAATTCCTAACGCTACGATAGACGGGAGTCAAACATATCTCTTGCACAAAATTATTCAATTTGGAATTCAAACCAGTCTAGCAACATAGGATAATTAAAACTGCAATGTCACACAAGTTTCTACTGCAGGTGTGGCAAATTAGAGCAAGCGAACTATAATTGGGACAGATACGAGATAAGCAGGGGCGAGTGTAGCATAATCAGGGCAAGTGTGGTGAAAAAAAAAGTGCAATACAAGCAGACTAAACTTATAGTAATATCAAACCTCTACACCCTCATTGACTTGAACAGGTTCAGAAACCTTCTGTATTTCCTTCCCTTGTGATCCTTCAGGTCTCTTTCCTGCCATTTTCCTATTATCGATCTTCAACTTTCTCGAGCCAAGTAATGCTACTCCAGCATTAACGTCACCATGAAAAATGACTTGACGACCACCTGGTGCAACCTTGGGTTGTTCTGTAAAAGAGAAGTCTTATAAGTCATTACAATATTGACCTAAGACCCCATTATGTTAGCTAGCATTGCAGGTTGAAAATCTCGTGGAACAACTTTCATGCCCATTAGGATGGGCAGCAGAGCGGCTTAAAGGTTATCGGTCTTCCCTGTTGTCAACGTACAATGCTTTAAAAAGAAACTCTAATCAGACTTGAAAATTTAACCGTCTACGGTTCAACTTTCGCACCTATTTAGGCGTAATATTATGAGTGGACAATGCCAGGTCAGTAACAGAGGATTTGCGTCATCTTCCAATTTTATATCTCACTTCGCATGCTCACTTTGATCATTACAACCTTGAAGTTTTATAACTATTCCAAGTCATTACATACCACTAGTTCTCAAACTGGGGTCCGCGGTCCCTTAGGGGCCCGTGAAGCGGTTTTAGGGGGACCGCGAGACAACTTTAACCTCAGCACAGAAGCACTTTGATTTGAAGTAAAATTTTGATGTCATGCTTTTACAGTGTTTCGTCGAAGCACCAAAGACGTATTGTTTATGAAGGCGTGAGGGTCTGGTTGTAATTTTTACAGGGTAATTTAAAATAAAACATAAATTTAGATATAACGATTCATATGTAAAATTTGATTCTGCCGTGATAAGTTCTGGAGGAAATAAACCCACAGTGGCACCGTCCTATCCTGATTTCGCTAAGATGGAGCTAAAAATGCTTATTCCATTTGCAACAACTTACGAATAGGAGACAGCTTTTTCTACGTTACATGCTATTAAAACAAAATGTTGAAACAGAATGGACGTGAGGCACGATATGAGAGTTGCATTATCCAAAACAGAACCCAATTTAGAAGTGGAAACTAGTAGGAGCCAAGCAGGCGTACCCATCTCATCGAACTGTTTTAATATCATTCAATAAATGAATGATGATGTACCGCGTTGCTATTTGCTTTCATTTAGTTAGTGAACCTCGAGTAATCAGAAAAATTGAAAGGGGACCGTTATGCATAATTTTTCAAAAAGTTTGAAGAATCACTGGTATACCATTCAGTACTATTTACATATGAGGGCATCAAGATGTCCAAGAGTATCGGATCCAAATAAAGTTTTGTTTGAAAGAGTTCGGTATTTTTGCACCACTCCAAACTTCATTACAAAATGAAAATTCTCCACGCACAAGCATAGCTCTCAGTTTCGGATTCTATAGGGAAAATTTATGAGGGAAAATTTCTTGCCATTGGTGGTTCATATAAATGCTGATTGGCAACTGCTGCTCAAGAAGCCGTATGATGTCATGCTACTAAGCCACCACCCTACCAAGAACTGTACTTCCAGTCCAAGCTTCAGCTTTCTTCTTTCTCTCTTCTGCTCTTTCAAGTTTTTGTTCATAAGTCAACTTTGCTGAGGAAAAATGAAACCAAGTATTATTCAAAATTGTAGTGCAAATGTCGAACCAATGCTATGAAATACGCATGCACTTAAGTAGGCTATGACAAAAATACAGTCCAAAGAGTTTATACAGCGGTAATAAGTTAGCAATAACAGGTTGAAAATGTTAAAGGCAGTTTTTTTGGGTATACTATTAAATTCTCACCCAACATCAGGAGCGATCGAATACTCGAGACGTGGCGATAAACCGATCGATCACGATCAACGTATGGGCCAACCATGATGTATATAATAACACTCACGTCTATTCCTGGGTGATTCATCTCCAATGTATCGTCTATTGTCGATTTCAACTTCCTCTGCATTTTTCAATAAAACGCCGGCATTGAGTTGACCACGAAATTCAATCAGGTCTGAGGGCCTCCCATGTCCTGGAAATATGAGAGATCAATCAGAACATTCGACGGTTGTCGAATTGTGCTAAGCATTGAGAATGTTTTTGCCGTCACACTGCTGATCCATATCTCGAGTTTGCATGTTCGAATACCATTGGGAATAATTATGTGCTGGACGATTGCTAAACTCCCCACCTAGCGTGGTTCAAATAACTGCTCAAATAACCATATTATACAGAACAGGAAATTTTTTTTAGTATAATTAACTCATAGTCATAACCAAAGTTATTTCAGTAACCCACCAACTGGGTGCATGATAATTTAACATTCTGTTGGTCATAATCAGATACCCTGCAACTGATGACATCACTGGACATGCTAAGCCATCTGGGAAAAGACTAGTTGCCAGAAATACACATTATCATTATATCAATATCAAAATATGATAAAAAATTAATTTAAAAAAAATCTTGGCAATGATTTGATGAAGGAACAGCTCACCAACAGCACCAGGCTGTCCCAATGACTCCTCTTTTCCAGCAATGTTGTAGGAATTCTCACAAAAAGGTTGGACTCCAGCGCTGGCCTCTTCCTGTTTCCTCATTTGAGAGATTTTATAAACAGGATTAAGAGCCTGTTTGTCAATGGTGCAGTAGGAAATGTGGCCTAGAAGAAGTTGATATTGGTTATAGCCATAAAAATGGATATATGAAGATGTAGGAACAAAATACCTCATTTCATATTCCACAAAAATGTGAGTCTTATTTCAAGATTTTATTACATAGTTGCCTCTCATAGATGGAATAATTTATTTTAGGTGATTGAACACGTACCACCTCTTCTTGGCAAAACTTTCCATCTCAAATACATTCTGTACTTTTTAAACCTTATCTAAGGAAATGTTTGCTCTCCTGACTTCATAATCAGTTTTTATTTATTTGTTTTTATCAATCATTTTATTGTTATGCTGATTATGGAGCCGAAATAAACTTTTTATATTATTATTATTTTTAAGCTCCTGAGAGTAAAGTTGATAGGACGGCTTAATCATACGATAGGATTTACATAGGGTGGAAAAAGTCGATAAGATGACTTAATTGTAGGATTTGATTTTCATGAATATCCCATCCCTCTCCCAAGGAATAAATATAAAATGCATTCTTCTCTTAGACTTATTCCCCGCTAAAACATTCGGCACTCCAGAAGTATGCTTACCAATATGGAGGTAACTGGTTTTGTTCGCCTACATCAAGTTGTGTGAAGGGACTGAAACCTATGGGCAGGGGGTATATTCACTTGACTAACACAGTCAGTCCCCGAACTCGTGATAGAACTAAAATAAGGAAAATCGAAATAAAATTATGGCCTGGTACACATATTACGGGAGTACCAAACATTCAAACTTCATTCCTACCCACCTTGATATGAAGACAGGAATTGTTCATCCACATTGAAATGTGTGTTTGTCATTTGTTGGCCAGGAGTAATATTGAACGCAATCTCATCCTCAAACGATGCTGTAAGTGGTTCCAGAGTCTTGATAGAAGAAACGAAGCCTTCCTTCTTGAGTCTGTGACGCAAAGAAAACTTAATGTAATTTTTATTTTACATTTTCAAGGATTCAAAAGTCTCACTGCACTTCATTCGGATAAGGCAGGGGTGAGCAACTTTTGATACAGGAGGGCCAAATACAAAAACCTAAGTGAAACCGCGGGCTGCATTTCAATCTTCATTTAACATAGTCTTTCTAGTAGTTTCAGGCACAAGAAATTTAGTTATTGATCTTGTGACATGCATTGTTCGCTTTCGCACAAGTTAGCAGTTAGGGCATTGTAACATCATTTATAATGATTTGGACTCGGGTATACACAAGAGGACTATAATTACTCGCACATACCAGATTGAACTAAATTTAAAAAGTGAGCCGCATTTGGCCCGCAGGATTGGTAAGACACTGCGATTGGTAAGACATTGCCTGAAAAACTTATTACACCTTGGGTGAGCATGGGCATGCAGGAGAGATGAGGCAACCTGCGATGCTGGTTGAATCCAATTCTGTAACCACTAAGCCTTCGCATCTATCAAATGTTGGTAGACCTAAATATTTGTAGTAGTTCCTATTTAATAATGTCACCTTTATTTTTGGACGGGACCGATTGGAGCCCTAAATGAGTTCAGTACACTGACCAAGTGTTTCTTAACCAGGAGGGAATGGAATTTCTCTCTGGGAAAAAGATGGTACTCCCGAACAATGTTCCCTCTAATTTTTTGTAGTATGTGTGCGCAGAAATTTTGGTGTGTGCGCACTTTTTTGGAAATGACTAATATTTGTGCAAAAACCAATGAAGAAATTTTGGCGTTCTAACCAGGTAATAAGTGGGCCAACAACAAACTTTCTCAACCTGCCAACCGAGCACATTGTTACATTACATCGAAATACGCCTGTGCGCAGTAAATCTATGCGTGTGCGCAGTCTCTGAAAGCTGTGTGCACGCGCATACCTTAGAGGGAACACTGCTCCCGAAGTATGTGAACCAAGATGGCAGACACCAGAACGTATGAGTACGAGTTGAATATCACACAAGCTAATGAACCATTTAACATCAAATGCAACAGTTTTATGGGCAGTGAGAGGGAATGAAGAATTTCGAAATAGGTAGGTAAAAGAAGAAATTACCTGTGCAGAAACACGTTTTCGATGGCTTTATCAGCGAGGCAGAATCCCATTGCAAATTTCCCATCTGCATTATTGAACAGAAAGCAGGATATTTTGAATTGGATATCTGGCAACCTATCTTGAGATATGTATGCTGTCAGGTTGCTAAGTTCTCGATAATGAAGTTCCAAGTGCCCTTCATGTGTCAGAATTGGACGGTCCAACTCAATCCACTCTCCTTAATACAAAACAAATAGATTAGACCATAGGTTCTCAAAGTGCTCCGTACGGAGCCCCAGGGCTCCGTGAGAGAAACCCAGGGGCTCCGCGAGCTATTCGATTACTTTTTATTGGCTAATTTTACTATTAGGATTACTGAAATGAAAGACTACTATTCTGAAATAACATAAAATACGCGAAAAACTGCCAACTATACATAAATTGCAGTCGTATTTTTGCGATCTTGGGATTTGTCAAGCTTGATTTTGTTCTTTCGCACTCACGAGCAAGATGTCGCCGTTTAAAAAACAAGAGGTCGGGGCAAAATACGAAAGATTGAAATTTATTTCATTGCATGCGGCTCCGTCGGTAGTTTCAGAATGGAAAAATAGGTACATCGCTCGCACAATTGACTGTGTTTCGGTTTCGCAGTTACTACGACGAATAACCAAAGAAAACCCAACATAACACCAAATTTTTGATTCACAATGTCTATGAACGTGTTTTTAATCTGACGTGAGTCTGCTGAAACAAAACTTATAGTGTTATCTCCCATTTTAAGTTTTAGTTTTAATATTTCAGTATGCCGCTTTTCAATCAAGAAATTTGAGTTGCGGATTTACCTTTTATTATTTATTATTTTTAGCATTTCGTCTCCGGTGACTATAATATGGTAACATGTTTTTCACATTGAACTCATAATTCCCCACGAGAACAAAAAAGCAATACTCGTCGTCATTGTGGAACAATACATCATACATGTATATGTCGAGGAAAATTTTTGATGCAGGGAGAATAAACACCGCCATGCTGACGAAAACAATCGGCGATCGTAACAAAATGCAATCGAGTACGTTATTAGCGGCCTTTTAAGTCTTTCAAAAATATCTAAAGGTAAAAGATCCGACCCCTAATTTATTAATAGGTTTGTCAAGTATCAAGTTTACAGCTTTAGTATATATAATTCATCTTTTACATTTAGATTCATTTATGACTTGTATTAACCCTATTAAAAGAGGTTAAGCATTTAAAATAAGTACAGTACTTTTGACTTACTCAGAAATATTATTCGGAAAGTAACAATTTTAACATTTATTTTGGGGCTCCGTGAATAATAGTCAACTTTTTCAAGGGCTCCGCAACACAAAAAGTTTGAGAACCCCTGGATTAGACGACTTAATCTGCTATCGTCACGTGACTGTAATTTAAGGCATTGACTTAATGCATTATTATTATGCCCATTCATTGTTAGTTCGACAAATCTGAAACAAACACAATTTTTTGACAAAACTTTGATAAGCATTCAAGAAATGAAACTTATCAAGTCATGAGATTTGTTGAGGGCCGCAAAAGCTGTTGCTTGGGCTGCTTGAAGTCTACTGGGAGATTTTTGTTTTTAGCAAACCCCAGACTAATATTAAATTTTTTTGCAAATCATAAAATTGCTTCAATCTCCTATAAGGGCTTTAAAAGCTCATGTACTTCCTTTCTTGAAGAATTTACTTAGAATACAAGTCAAATCTATTGGAAAACGCTTATTTATAATTTATATTTTTCACTCCAAAAAAACAGCCACAGAATTTGTAATACATAAGGCCTTGCTACTATTTAAAAGAAATTATTCAACATTGCCTAAATATGACATCAATACAATAAAGTCAACACTTTAACCCCGACATGGACAAACTACGTCCCGCGGGCCAAATTCAGCCTATTTGGTATGTCAATCTGGCCCGCCTGATGCTGCCAAAATCAAACCAAAACCAAATTCTGTTTTAGCTGGAAATTGGTCAAGGAATATGTATTGTGAAGATTACGATTAAATTTAGTTTTGGGATGAGGCTTATTATTTTCCACTTTTGCGTTTGTAACACTGTTGATATTGTTCATAAAATGTAACTTTTTATGTCACATCTGCATGGCCCGCAAGTCTAGATGAGCAAAATTTTTGGCCCTGCCCACCCTTGCTTCAACCACTGGTGCATTGTCCAAATATTTAAAGAATTAAATTTACCTTCTGATTTACAGTAAATCCCAACATCGACAGAAGCTTCGGTTGAGCACCAGGTTGGCAGAGTGATCTTTACGTCCTTTCGACCTTGAAATGATTATTCGTAAAATTAGAATATTATAAAGATCTACCAGGCTCAGCGATTGAGAGTACGCCCCAAAATAAAATAACTGGCTAACTAATCCTATACCCGACATGAACTCCTAACCGAACAAGAGAGCGTGGTTAAGCCGTCTTATACTTTACTCTCTCCCGGGATAAATATGTGAATTTTATCTTATCCTACCAGATAACAAAAATGTCCACCAGTGAACAGTTGTCAGTTTGCATTCAAAGCTTATTCCAGTTTTTTGGCTCAACTCCAGTTGGTTTGCAGTATTTTTAGATCACCTTGTTGAATTCCATGAATTTCATTTCATGATTGGAACAACTTATTGCAACGGTGCACAACCTGCGGCCGTACGGCCGCATGCGGGCGTCGCGAAAAAAAAATGCGGCCGTCCACATACAAAATCCTATGAAAAAAAAGTTCAAAATATAAGATTTGGCGGCTATGCTGGCGTATATTGAAGCAAAACAGAAGCACTGCAGAAAAGTCAGACGACACGATGTATCACAATCTAGATGGTGTATTTGCTGCCAGTTACCTGACTTTGCAAGTTTATCTGCCCACATGCAAGACCAAAGGAGTCATTAAATTGCTACAATTCTTTGCAAACTTTTATAGAATAAATTCTTAAAAATATTTGACATTTTATTATACTTTTGGGGACAAGAAAATGGGGGCGACCGCCCCTCCCCCACTTTTGATTTTTTTCAAAATTGTGCAACCATTATGCAACTTGCAGAATATATCTGCTCTAGAATAGGTCCACCGAAAAAAAAAATCCTTTTAAAATGCGAATATTATACTTCCAAGTAGTCCTACATACTTCATAATTGGGCAGAGTGCCCTCGCACGGGTCAAACACGCGGTTATGACGTCATAAAGACAAAAATTTCGTGCGCCATCGGCGCGCTATTAACCTCCTGCCGGCCGTATTGTATAAAAATAAATGCAATGTGGCCGCCAATAGCAAAAAGGTTGTGCACCCCTGACCTATTGGCTTTCCTTCCACCAGAATATATAAATAAATTTTGGATACACCTGGAGTATGTGAATTAAAATGGCAGGTACTATTACGAGTTTGAGGATAAGTGACTCACGAAGTATTTGTACCTGAAATGATGGCCTAAACTGGTACACATACTACGTTCCGGTGTTCGCCATCTTGGTTCACTTAATTTGGGAGTACCAAATTAAGTTCTATCCTTCACTAACCTTGGTATGATGGATCGAAAGTCAGTGTTGAGCTTGCATGAATTTGGCTAGCAGGTGGCGCTCCTGGAATGACTTTGTACGCAATATCATGCTTCGTTGGTTCTTTAACGGAATGTGCCGAGAGTTTCAACCTGCAGTCTCCAATATCTATCACTGTTTTCTCCGGAGTAATTTCTAAGCCAAGTAAAACAATGAACTTGAAATAAATAACGTTATAGTATTTTTTATATTATTAGTGGCTCTTTGCACTTAAATGATGGCTCATGACTTTGCTCTAGAAGAGTTTCCTTTACTTCTGAGTGAGTACTCTTAACTTTGTTCAGAGATGAGTCTGCTTACATTCTGAGTGAGTGCAGCACCGTAGTTTGAGCAGCTTTTGGCATTCCTTGCTCACTCAAAACTTTGCTCATAGATGGCTTGAGCTCTCCTTAGTGAGAATGTGCAATGCACTATAGCAGGGATGGCGAACCACTTAGAGCTGATCAAAAAATATAACAATATCAGAGTGGAATTCCCCCCGAACTCTTTGTAAAATAATATGCCGCTTCCTCCTAAACGTTTTTGGTAATTCATATGTGTGTTTCCGTACTCTAATTTTATAACATCATGCCATAAAAAATCCCTGATAGGAGTGCTGCATAAGTGAAGCCCAAAACTACATCAACACCAACAGAAGCTCATGGGATTTCTGAAGTTGATTATAGATACAAACATTGTTCAAATATATGTGACCCACTCTTTTCTGTTTCGCGATAAAAATATAATTTTTGACCCATTAATTGAAAAGGGTTCGCCATCCCTGCACTATAGTAATTCTACATAGTTTTAGTAGCTCTTATAATTTCATTGGTATCTTGATCATGATTAAGTCTCCTTCAATTCTAAAAAAGTGTTTCTCAAACTTTTTCAATTTGTCAAGTCTCATGCCACACCTCAAAATAACTAGCTAACTATAAGCTACAAATAACAGATAGTAAGTAGGGCTAAAGTAATGTCACAGATGATAAAAATAACAAAAAGCACAACAGCTCTCTGCAATACATCTAAACAATAAAGAAATGTAAATGTCCAAAATAAGGCGGGCAATATCAAACCAAACAAAAATTCTATTTTTAAAATGTGTCTACGCAACCCCTTGTTGGGCGCACCTCACCGTTGAGAACCATTGTTCTAAAGGATTACCTGTGACCTTGTTGGCACAAAAACTCCTAATAAAAAATTTGGATTTAAAAAAAAGCCTTTAAGCAACCGACCTGATTTTGAAGGCTTCAACACTGGTACATCGGGGTCAATCTGTAGAATTCCTTCATCTTTAGCATTGCCTAGAATCAAAGATCAGTTTTAACTGCGGAAAATTAGATATAGGTAAGAATAGGATTCGTGCAATTAGTAATGTGTAAAAGTCCCTGAAGATTCGAGTCACGAATCATCCTAGTAACAATTAGGGTACTGGGTAATCCTGGTATTAAGTCAAGTCATTGGCCATCCCAGTTCTGTGTTAAGTAGTCCTAGTATCTACTCAAGTCGAGTCAACTGCCATCCAGCTTCAAGGTGTGTCACATGCTATCCTAGTAGCGAGTCACAGGCCAGCAGCACTCAAGCCGGTACTCATGTAGTATGTGAACCAAGATGGCGGCACGAGGACATGGTATGTGTACCAGGTTAGGGTTGAACCATAATTTCAGGTATAAACACTCAGAAGTCACCTGGCTAGTCCCCGAACTCTTAATAGAACTAAAATAGGGAAAATTGGAATAAAATTATGGCCTAACCCTAACCTGATACACATACTACGTTCCGGTGTCCGCCCTCTTGATTCTCAGACCATGGGAGCACCAGCAAGCCTTATTAATTGGACTGTTTTCAATCCCGAAAATTTAAAAATACGAATCTAGTGAAAATATGCCAACCCTGGCTCCCTAGCTCTGCTCCTAAATATAATATAAGCGAGCCTAACTACCATTCATATCAATATAAAACCAAGCTTACCTTGAGTCTCATTCCCCAACAACACCTGGCCAATGGTTCCTTGTATGTTAGTTATATTGATGGTAGTGGGAGAAGGATCTGAAGTTGAAAACAATTTAGTTCTGTTAATTCAGCATGAACATGTTTAAACAGCACTTCTGATTGGTAACCTGGGTGGGTTCGCTGAATCACTCGCCGGGAAGGCTACAGGTGAGAGGATAGCTGCATCCCTCAACGCCGTAGGGTGGTTCACGTAACCGCTGATCACTTATGGCTTCCTTCGCCATCAAGACCATGCTTCCGAAAACAAATACCTGGCTAACTAATCCCATACCTGAGATGGTAAACGGACAAGAGGCCGGGGTTCGCCATACAATTGTGCTGTTTTATAGGCTATACTCTCTCTGGGATAAATATGTAAATCCTATCCTATTGAGATTTAAACTTAATAAAATCCGAAACCAAAGCATAGGAATACAAACTCTATCTTTGAATGAATTGAATTGGGGGGTCACCTGTTGGAACTTGTTGTATTTGAGCGTCCCCTTGTGGCAGAAGGTCCATCTCATCATCATCATCATCAAAGTATGCAGCATCAGGATTGACTTGTTTTTCAAAATATTTGTCAACTATTCGTCTCAACGCTTCTGTCGTAGCTCTGGATCCTGCGTCGCAGAAATTGAAGTTATTTTCTCAAAAGAATTCAACCTGATTATATTTGTGATGTCACAAGTTATAGATCTGGGCCGCGACTGGGCCAGGACAAATGAGTTATGTATTTTTTCCAACATCCTTTTTGGTAGAAATGGGGTCTCAGCCACTAAGAAACAAATTTTCATCATTAAATGGGATGGTTAGTGACTAAAAATGTCCCCAGATATTATATCACTTTTTATTTTCTTTATTTATTATTTTCTTATTGAATTTTTATAAAATAAAACAATATTGTAAAAAATAAATAAATTTTTAGTATCACCAAGTGTGTGATAATAATGTATAGAGTTAGGGGGAAACGGTGCGTATTTTTAGTATCACCAAGTGTGTGATAATAATGTATAGAGTTAGGGGGAAACGGTGCATACGAGTTTGAGAAGCACTGGCTTAGATGAGATATTTTGAAGATATAAAATATATTTTTACCTTCTCTTTCTTTCCAAATTGCAATCAAACAGCGTTTTAGATTTGTGACATCGTATCGGTTATTTTCCTGTACAGGTGTGACCCTATACTGGTCAATTCTGAGACCATACTTCGATAAAGCAAATGTAATGAATGAATCCGTTGATGAGAAACGTCGAATCAACTCTTCCGTTGATACATCTTCCAGTCGTTCTAAAAATGCACATAAAGTCACACACATTTTGCATGAAGTCAAATAATTTCACATAAATCACATAAATTTGCCACATATGTTTTAGACCAGAACTTCTCAAACTTTTAAGATCGCGACCCCATCCAACATTTTGCGACTACCTGATCCGCTTCACAGGTCTTATGACAAAATCGACATTGTTCTGCAAACGCGCCGCTTCTGTGACCCTATGTATTCTCTCAAAATCATTAGATTTATGTTTTGCACTAGTTTTAATAACTGTGTTTCGAATCAAAAGTCTAAAAAAGTACAATTGAGTACTTTTGAGTGAAATTGGTGTACTCTCTGCAACTTCAATATTGGTTGCGCAACCCTTGTGGTGTCGGAACCCCCAGTTTAGAAACCCCGTTTCAAAACACACATAATGAACATAAAATTGAAATGCAAACCAGCTATATCTAAGGTTGAAGACGCACAATCGTCTGAAATTTAATAATATGGAAGCATGACTAAGAATTTGGAATGGAATGTGTCAGATGAGTTCAAGCAATTCATCAAAGTCTCGAGTTGAAGTATAGGATTGAAGTGTTTCTGACTGTTGTGCAACCTATCAACGTAAGTGGCACATCGAACCTTTGTCTAATGGTGCCAAAAGTAGCTAAGCTATTGAACTATTTTACAAAACATATTTCTAGATTTCTATTGCTTGGCCTCAATATACAAACTTGTAGTTTAGTTAAAACTAATAATACAAAATGAAAGCATTTGAATGAAAGCATTTGGTACCACCTATATGCACCAATATGGAGGTACAGTAACTAATTTTGTTCGTTTATTTTACATCAAGTTGTGTAAAGGGAGTGAAACTTATGGGCAGGGGTAGATTTACTTGGCAAACACAGATAGTTCCCGAACTCGTAATAGAACTAAAATAGGGAAAATAGGAACAAAATTATGGCCTAACTGGTACACATAAGTTTTGGGACTCGGGAGTACCACCTATAATATTCCAATACCTTTCCTAATCTGTTCCATTGCTGGTCCTCCCAATACTCCAGGGACAGATGGTCTTAAGCACCAAAATACAGTTTCAAGTACAAATCACAGTGGCTAGATTGTACAGAGACTAAGACATGTCCATCACTATAGCATAAATACTGTTAAGAGAAAAGAAGTTAGCAATTATACAAAGATTGATACGATATATAGATTGAAACAAGAAACTAATCAAATACTAAATCCATTTTAGTAAAATGGAATAATTAGGTGGATATGTTCATATGTATTCAATCAATTACCTGAATCAGTGAATGAAATCAGGTAATGCTTTTCATATTTCTGTATTTATCCTCTTTTGATTGATTAGTAGTAGATTGGTTTATATTGTTATTACAAATGAACTCAATGCAGGCAGCAATAGACATCTGAACATGTACTGATGTAAGGGAGCCACAATTTTTGTATGGACCAGGGTATTTCAGTATTTTCGTTCTTGTGCTGACTAATAACTTATTTAAATCTGACCTCATCAACATAGATGACTTCAATCTTTTAACCACTAGATCAGGGGTGTGCAACCTTTTTTACATGCGGGCCAAATAAAGGTAACTGGGTGAAGCCGCGGGCCGCACCTAGAAAATCGACCTACAAAAGTCTAATTTTGTGAGAACGAACGTTAGCGAGAATGAAATTTTGTGAGAACAAACGTTAGCGAGAATGAAATTAGGGAACAGCAGATGTTAGCGAGAATGGAATTGGGGAACAACGAACGTTAGCGAGAATAAAATTTTGTGAGAACAGACGCTAGCGAGATTGAAATTAGAGGATAACGGACGTTACCGAGTATAAAATTTCGTGAGAACGAACGTTAGCGAGAATGAAATTAGAGGACAATGAAAGTTAGCAAGAATGAAATTAGGGAACAACGGACGATAGCAAGAATGAAATTAGCGACAGCGGATGTCAGCGATTTTGTGAGAACGGACGTTAGCGAGAATGAAATTTTGTGAGAACGAACAATAGCGAGAATGAAATTAGGGAACAACGGATGTTAGCGAAAAAGAAATTGGGGGACAACGAACGTTAGCAAGAATAATATTTAGTGAGAAAGGACGTTAGCGAGAATGAAATTAGGGGGAAACGGACGTTAGCGAGAACAAATGTCAGCGAGAATAGGATAGGATTTACATATTTATCCCGGGGGAGAGGAAAGCCGATAAGACGGCTTATCCATATGGCGAACCACGGCCTCTCGTCCGGTTACCATTCCAAGTCAGGTATGGGATTAGTTTTACTGTATTGTTTGTTTTCGGAAGCATGGACTTGGTGGTGGAGGAAGCCGTAACCGACCAGCGGTTACGTGAACCACCCAACGACGGCGAGGAGTCCAGCAATCCTCTCGCACATAACCATCCCTGCATGGGATTCGAACCCACGCAGAGAATGAAATTAGAGGACAACGGGCGTTAGCGAGAATGAAATTAGGGAACAACGGACGTTAGCGAGTATAAAATTTTGTGAGAACGAACGTTAGTGAGAATGCAAATCTGCTTCAAATCAGTGCACTATAATAAAATATGGACTTAAAAGCAAATCATGTGATAATAGCTACCTCCAGTTACTGACCATTCCATGCCAGGCATGGAAAATTAAACTACTTGTTTAATATGTGTGGCTCAACGGGCTAAGCGTTAGGCATACGCTCGCCACCGCACCTCTAATTACTCTGCGTGGGTTCGCATGTTCGAATCCCATGCAGGGATGGTTATGTGCAAGAGGATTGCTGGACTCCTCGCCGTCGTTGGGTGGTTCACGTAACCGCTGGTCGGTTACGGCTTCCTCCACCACCAAGTCCATGCTTCCGAAAACAAAAAACAATACAGTATAACTAATCCCATACCCGACTTGGAATGGTAACCGGACGAGAGGCCGTGGTTCGCCATATGGATAAGCCGTCTTATCGACTTTCCTCCCCCCGGGATAAATATGTAAATCCTATCCATAATGTAGCAAATTGCAATTGGCCAGTCGTTATAAAAAGCACTCTACAACCGCTCAAAAAGTCGTCATTAGCCATTTTATCAATTTCCTTTACCTGTGCAGCAATAAATAAATATGAAAGTCTAATCATATACTGCCTTGATAGCTCCCTTCGAACAATATCGGAAGCATACAGTGGTGGCAAGTATCCAACACATGGTTTTCAAACCTGTTAAACTCAAAGAATCTTGAACGGACAATTTCAACAACATACAGATGAAACTTTGAAAATAGTCTGTAATTCCAGAAATTGCCAACACTTGAAAATTATTAAAACAAATAAATTGTACCTTGAGAATGAAACATATACAAGCCACATAGTCGATACAACTGACATGAATGAAATGACGGACGTTCAATGAAGTGCTGAGAGCTACTGATAATATAAAGCAATGGTTCTCAAATGGTGGGGCGCGCTCCACAATTGGGGTACAGAAAATTTTTTGAGGAGGCACAAAACTAATTAAAAATAAAAAATATTTGTTAGATTTGATCTTGCCCGCATTACTTTTGATATTTACGCTCCATCAACATATTTTTAAATTTCTTTTGCATGAAACATACTTTTGCATTACTATCAGTTATTTGGAGCCTATTGTTATTGTTTTTTTTGGTGTGGTGCACAGGACTTGACATATTCTAAAAAGTGGGCGCTGCTTGAAAAGTTTAATAAACACTGCTATGTCGAATCATAATAGCGAGTCCTAGTAAACACAGACGAAAACAGCTAGGAGGTAGGGAATTCCACATAACCGGAGGTCACGCGGAAATAACTTTGAGCATAAAATTTTTTATGGCTGGTCCTGATAGGCACATGTTCTTCATAGAAACATTGGCCCCAGGTTATGGATTGGTGGTTTTGTAAAGCAGTATCTTCCAATTGGGGCAAATAAAATGTCTGTAAATAAATTGCTTTAATCCTAAAATCGGGAAGACAACTCGAATTTGGACCTGGATAGCTGAACTTTTATTACTGGTGTTCCCTTGTAATTAACCAAGACAGCAGGGGAAAAACATCATCGATAGTTGCATTGTATGGTAATCACATGGTCAAGTAATTAAATAAAAAATGGAATGAATAAAAATTGTTTACTCCGCAAGTTCACTAACTGACTGTGAAATGATACCATTGGATTAACAACATTTTACTTGCAATGAAGTACCGGGCCAGGTTATCACTGATTGGTCAGTGTATGGACACAACATATATATAAAGTTCTAGGACTGGGTTTCTCAAACTTCGCCTCAGCCTCACAAATGGCCACGTAGCGGCCCTGACCATAGGACTCCATTAGGTGTCATTCAATATGATTATTACTTTTTAATCGATTTTAATTGGTAAGTATGTTGATAGGTATTTGCCTGTTAGATGCACGCGATATCTCACGGAAGCGAGATTGAATCTGCTCCAGATTTTGCATGTGCATTCATCATATGTCGAAACAGAAGCCTATCGATTTTGGAAGAATTATGTCGTATAATTAGCGAGTTATTAATTAATTAGTGATGGGACACAAGGTGTCACTATGGAGTAAGAAGGCTGTTTTGGGGGATCCCCTAACTTTCGAACAATATTCTCGTTTTATTCTTAAGTCTTTGGAAAGGGGCCACAATTCATGAAATTTGGAGAACCACTGCCCTAGGATGCCAAATTATTCTAAGCATGTCAGAAAGAATGGAACTCAGAAAAATATTGAAATGAAACTACTTTAAAATCGTTTCTCACTACAAAATTCCCAGTACCCACAATGCAATTAGGTTCTATATAGAAAGCTCAAACCTGACAAAGTACTATCAACAGCATTACAAAAATCTGTTAGCAGCAAAACTAGGCATTAACATGAAAATGAATGGGGCGATGCCTAACTGGGGAGATTGAAAAAGATTCATCTCGGAGTGAAATTACGGGAAACTCCTGGAATTAGGTGAGACACTGACACTGAATAGAGTTACCTAACACGCACTTACTCAAAAAGTAAATGAGACTCATCTCTTGAGTAAAATTATAGGAAACTACTGGAATTATGAGTCATTGAAGATAATTGTGTTGTGCATAACGCACACTTAGATTGTTAGGACACAACATAAAGTTCTAGGACTGGGTTTCTCAAACTTTGCCACAAATGGCCACGTAGCGGCCCTGGTACCATTCATGATGACTACATCAAGTCTTGAGAGTCTTTAGAATGGGCCAACGATTCATGAAATCTTGAGAACCACTGCCTAAGGATGCAAAATTATATTCGATTCAAGTTGGCCAACCCTGGGTGCACTTACTCAAAAGGTAAACGAAAGTCATCTTCAAGTAAATTTATGGGCGAGCTTTGTCAAGAGAAATGTTTGATATAGTGAGTCTTAAGAATACTCTTGACCCCATATGTGAATTAATAACGAGTGTAGAAAATAGGAACCAATAAAACGATCTTTCTGCATTGTCAAATCACAATATACAAAAATTTGTCTCTGCTGAAGACGACCAAATTAATAAAAGGAAAAATTATTTTTGACCGCAGGGCTGGAGAGCTGAAACTTTGTTAGAGCTGGAACGAAGCTAACCACTAGATAGGGCGAGAGCTACCAGAAATTTTAGTGGCTCAAGCTCGTACCCATCTAATTATTTTTTTCATATTTAAAATTTTCTAACACTTTATACTAGTAATAATATTCATTCTTTTCCAGTTTATCAATATAAATAACACAATAATAATGTCCTCATAACGTTTTAAATACTGCTCCAGCAAAACTGCATTTAATTGACAGTTCATTGTAATGGTCATACAAAAAGACCTAAAAGCCCATCAAGTTGCGTACAGGGACTGAAATCTATGGGTAGGGGGTATATCCACTTGGCTAACACAGACAGTCCCTGAACTCCTTCTAGAACTAAAATAAGGAATATCGGAATAAAATTATGGCCTAACCCTAAGCTGGTACACATATTACGGAAGTACCCTAATTTGAATATACTGTGACCCAGGAGTTATTTTGTTTTCAAACCAGCTCCCCAGGCCTGCTTGTCATCGGGTAAAGTTCTTGCATAAAATTTATCATTCAATTCTCTCTTCAATAATCAGAGTTTCTTGCGGGAAAAGTTTGTGATCTTTCAGAGAGACTTTTGGGTCAAGAGACGAAATATCTCGTTTTGGATACGAAGTGATAACTCGATATTTATCGTTCAGATAACCGAGAGAACCGACAAAGTTAAGAAGTCCTTGCAGAGACTCGGACGCCAGAAATGTTCTGGTCACCATATCACCCCCACCCGGTGGTCGGAAGCGTATTTTTGCGACCGGAAATCCGCAATCTGGTGACGGTTCCTGAGGGACAATCTCTCCTAAACGTTCAATCTGTTCGTTCTTCTCTTGCTCTTTTCTTTCCTCTTCTTGCTTCTGTTTTTCCAACTGAGCTCGTTCAGCGTCCAATTTTATTTGCTTTTCCTTGTCCTGTAAGAAAAAACTATTCATTTTAGATTTTAATATTTACGTTGCAGGAGAGGGAAGCCCACAACATATGGCAAGCCATGGCCTATCATCTGGTTACCAGTCCATGAGGTTAGTTGGCCAGTTATTTGTTTCAGATGAATGGACTTGATGGTGGGGTAAAGACCAGAAGTTACGTGAACCACACTATGGCAGTGAAGCGTCCAGCACTTCTCTCGCACATAATTATTAAATACAATATTTGAACTCACACATGGTTATCATAGATGTAAACTCTCTACCGCAGCAGTTCCAAGTGGGAGTCCATGGCCCACATACCATGGGGGCCACAGTTCGGTTTGAGGGGGCCAAAATGCTAGCCCAGAAAAGATTTTGAATTTTCCAAAAAACTGCCCATTCTTACTTGTTTCATTTCTTGATAAAGTTACTTAATAGGGTGTTTTCACTTAGTTGAGCATGAATTGTTTGAACATAACAGTATTTGGAATCTACCAATCATAATAACACTCCTAATACCACTGGAATGATAAACAGAGGGCCACGAGTGCTAAAAACCTCCGAAAGAAGGAGGGGCATGGGCACAAGCCATAAGATTGAAAACCAGTGCTCTACTGCTTGGCGCTAAGCTCGAATCATTTCTGGTATTCAAAAAAGATTTGGAGAATAAGTGTAGCTAAGGTTTGCGCAGTCAGGGATAGCGCTGGGAATTTTTGAATACCTTGATTAGGATTTCAGAATCAATCAAATATTTTTTTCGAATCAAATCTTGAATACTATTTGGGACATATGTCATTGAACTTGATTTTTTTTCATTATAATGGATCCTCCAGACACATAGATCACTGAAAAGATAGAATACATCACCCATACAGTTTGGGGAGCGTTCACACTCGATAAAAAACTCATTAGTAAGAGAAGCGACATATGCCAGGATTGCATTGATAAAAAAATGGCTCCAATGAAAAAATATTGGAAACTTTGCCCTCGAAAAAACAAGATGGCGGAGATTCAAAATTTTTGTATGTACCAATTTGAATAACTTACTATTCTATTCGAAGCTTTAAGCCCTAGTCAGGGACAAAATTGAAACTTTTCGCGGTTTAGGTTCTAGACTTCTAACCTGCTGTAGTGAAGCATCATACGCTTCCTCCTGCTCTCTCTTGATTCTCTCCCTTGCTTCACTCAACTCTTCCATCCTGATGTCTTCCTGCTTCTGAGCCTCCGCATCCTCCACTGCTTTGATAAGTTTCACCATCAGTTCATCCAGAGATGTGTTGCCTGTGGATTCAAAAAGTATTCAAAGTTTTTATTTTGCTCTGAACAAGGCTCAACATAAGCAGCAGAAGGATGTGTAAGGAGTAAACAATATTCTGTAGGACTGTTTTTTTTTTTGGATCAGCAATTAGTGGAATTAGAACCCAGATAGTATTATCTGCGATGCTAAAATAATTGAGTCGAACGCTCTAATCCTATCATGGGCAAACTTGATGCTTCCACAACCAAACAAAAACTGAATATTGACGTTTCAGCTAAAGAGATTGTGATTGAACTTAGTTTTGGCACAATGCTTATTGTTTTCCACTTTTGCTTTTGTAACACTGTAAATATTGTTTATAAAATGTCCTTTTTAGTCACACCTACATGGCCCGCCAGCCTATATAAGCAAAATTTTTGGCCTTTGGTCCAAAAACCTTGCCCACCCTTGCTGTACCCGCAAGGTGCGAAACAAATATGTGAGAAAATATGCATACCAATGAGGGGTAAAGCTGTTAGTTATTACCAACAAACAGTTACACAACCGACTACTCTTTGGCTGGGAGTAGTCTAGCAATTCTCTCATTTAATAAAAAAATCTGAGAGTGAAACCTTATACAAACCTTGTACTATACTGTTGACATCACATGACCTTCCACGACCTTGAGCAAGTACGAGCATTGGAAATCCATCCTTTGGAACTCGCTTAACCGTGTCCGCCACCCCACTCCCCAGCATTCGAGTGCACATGTCTGAAATTTTAAGAAGTATTTTTTATTGTATAGCTTATACAACTTACACTCTGAACAAGGCACTATATGAACAGGTAGGGAGATATTATTGCTCTTTTTGGTATAACCTGTTGAATGTATCTTTATTGTATTCAACTTTATTTTCCTGGATGGCTGAGCATGCTCTCTGATGTCATCATTCACAGATGACTGATCATGACCAACCAGCCGTTGAGGTAAAGACATGAATGAACATGGTTGGTGTGTCTTGGGAGTCACTTTGGTTGTGTGTATGGCCATTTACTAAATATATGTCTATACTGAGTTAACATTCTCAATCTATAAGTATCCTATGAGAGGTGGTGGGCATGGGATTCTAGCCATATATTTTAACCTGTGACACAATCATAGTAGATAACTGAACCGCCCCTACAAATTTATATTTATGACTCTAATCCAGGGGTACCAAACTTGCGACCCTTGCAATATATTAAAATTTCCCATACCCCGCCCCCACTAGATATAGTACTTTGTGTGGAATTAGTGTACGTACTCATTGCCAATCTAAAATTCGTTGTACGCCACCACTCTCCCCCTGCAGGGTCGCGACCCCCAATTTGAGTAGCCTTGTTCTAAACAAGAGATGGATGAAATAAATAATTTAATAATCGGAATGAGTGTGAAAACATTCTGAGAAAAAAGCATAACAAAGGCACTTACCCAGCATTCTTTTTCTATTGAAGTCAGAAGTGACATCCCAAGCCCAGATCACACAATGGTTGGCCATGTATTCCACGACAGATGGTGCACACAGTAGCTGGCTGCAAAATACATTGCTCTGAATACTTTTATCATGGTGGAGATAGACGGCTAGTAGTCGACGGTTACGTGCTGATCCACCGAAAGCCTCCTGCAGATTGAATTTGGGAATCCTATTAGTTAAAGTAGTTTGATGTAAATGGCCTACCGTGTTTCCCACGAAACTAAGACTGGGGTGGGGGGGGGGGGGTCTTTTATTTTCATTTATCAAAAAAAAAATTACAAAGTAGACAATTATAAATAATGGATATCCATATATTCATAAATACCCCCACCCAGTGAAATTTTCGGAAAACTAAAAAAATCCAAATGCGCACAAAATTTACGCAGGAGTTTTTTATTATAATCGCCTAGTGTTTTCGTAAGCGTTACCTGATTATTTATTATACATCATCTTTATATCGGTTCCGTACATTTTGTAAAACAAAGTATATCCTTTGTGTGCGACAAATCCACAATAATCAGTTTTTCTCGCAGTACCGTGCTTTCGGTGAGAGAAACGCGTTACCAAAAGTTAGTTACACCCTTGCGCGGTACTTAAGAACGCACAGGCAAAATTTATCAATACGCCCGCGCCGTTTGCATTCAGTGCCCTCCTATGTTCGATTCAGTGCCCTCGTTTAAACTTAGAACGCGCTAATAGAACACATTGAATTTTACTTTATTTTATTAGTTATACGTTATTTACATTTGAAATTCGAGATTGACAGAAAATTTTTGTGTCCGTCCGTACTCATTCTGTCGTTCACATACGATACTTTGCCCACTAAAATTAAAGACACAATTTATTACACACGCAATGGTTTTTATTTTTCAAGTTTTTTTCAATTTCCGACGAGACCGCACATCTTTTTCCAGATCATTATCATATTTGAAATTATCGATTTAAAGCATTTAAATTGTAACAAAACATGATCCTATTTGGAACAAAAATAATTGATGATAGCGCGTCTAACATGGCGCGCCTATAAATTAGGACACGACTCGAGCGTGTACACGATCGAGTTACACGCAATCGCAATCGCGCATTGAAGTATAATGTTACTATGGTACCGCATTTTGCAGTTATAAATTATACTTTCGATGCCGCATCATCATAAGAAACATGTTTTTATCAAGTTGCATTAAACCATTCGTGACGCGTAAAGCATCATCAGCAGTATCAGCATAAGATATTTTATTATGTTCGGTATGTTTATGTGGTATTATTTTGGGTTTTATACACTATTTACTTGTTCTTGTTTAGTATGTTTTTAATATTCAGATATCTAAATTTACGTTTCAAATGTCCTCATCAAAAATATATATTTTTCGCAACCGATAAATCAATATGAGCTAAAAGTCGCATTTACCGAGTACCGTAATCGCGGCCAGGGATGGCCAATTCGAATAAAGTATTCGAATGTATTCGAATATCTCGTCATTCGAATATCGGAATTCACGTTCATAAGAATATCGGATATTTGCCCCGACGCCGCTTTCAAGACGTTTCCGTTGAATGAAAACATTCTCGATAGAAACTTGCGCGTGATTGTTTTCATCACTCATCAGCGTAACGTGTTATTTAGGCCCGTAAACGCCTTTACGATCGTGTTATTTTCTCTAAAACGAAAATTTTCCACATAATTTGTTCCACGATAACGATAACATTTATTTTATTTTTGTATGCGCACGGAATTGTGAATCTGGTAAATACGTTCATCGGCGGCGAGTTTCTAAAGACAACGCAACTTTTTGATTGAAAAGCGGCAATTTAAAATACTGAAAATAAAACCGTAAACAACGTAAGTTTTATTGAGGCCCGCGAAAATTTAAAAAACGCTTTTCTAGGCAGTGAAAATCGCAAAATTTCGTGTGCCTCTGGCACACATTATGTTTGGTCGGCGTTTAGAAACATATCGTCACTAATTGAGGGCGGGATTTGCCTGATTATCCATTACTTTAAATTGCCGTCGAATATTTTCGTGTTAACACGATACAAGGTTTGAAACGCGACTTTTTCCCTGGTTGTGAGGATGTATATAATATAATTAATCTTTTTTAAGTATATTCAATCAATTTTATTGTGATGAAATAAATTTTACTCTGAGATATTTTACTCTGAGCATTTCGATCGAGCGGAGTCACTGTTAACAAGTACATCTAAATATTTGCCGAATTCGCAATATACGGATAAAAACAATATTTAATCGGACAGTTTACCTCACGTTTTTATTTTTATGGCCGCTGTTTGCAACGGTATATAAGAGTGGTGAAGATTTTATTTTGTCGACGCAACCGCAGGATAAATTGAAGACAATTAAATTAATAAGAGGAAGACATTTTAAATATGCCCGTGTCGGTCACGAATTCATCACTTTGCACAACAGAAAAATATTTATTCGTTGTTATATTATTTGTTGTAAAAGTCGACTCTTTTAACAGGTGGCATAATCGCGGCGATGAATATGTATTTATAATTTACTGCTAAACTTTATATGTATATTCATTGTATGAAATGAATTATTCTCTACACTTAACAGGATTTTATATAATTATTTGAGATTTTTCTAACGGCGATAACGAGTTGGCAAGATTGCAAAAATACATATTAAAATTAAATACATCAGGCAGTTTATCTTGTACTTTTAGGTCACAGATTGCGGTGGACCGAAAAGTAATGTTTTTTTTGACGTAAGAAGAAGCAACCGCAGTTATGTTGGACACATTAAATTAATATATAAAGATATTTTAGAATCTCGTAGTTGGCATTAATGTAATATTTTAGGCAACAGGAAATTCATAATACGCTAGAAAATGCGGCTCTATTAACGAGCGCGTGTTCGTGGTGACTGTTACAGACGACACTGGAAATTTTCGATTTTGACCCCCCCCCCCCCCCCCCCTTTTGAAAATCCTGGCTGCGCGCCTGGCCCTACCACATTTTTATTTCAATCAAATGCTTGACATAGATTATTCAAAATAGATCATATCATCATACTTTGGAATGTTTTGCAAGTCACTACTACAGTGTTTCTTCGAAAAAAAGACATGGTCTCATTTCAATTTACTCTTGAAAAAAAACTACAATAGGACTTCTTTTAAGGGGACGGCTTATATTAAAATCATTATTAAAATTCAGGCTAGGTCTTATTCTCATGGAAATACGCTAGTAGCAACACAGAACATACATCCAAGATTTGAACCCTATGCCACCTCGTGATAAATTGTGTAGGCAATGGTGGAAGATTCCGGCCTTCTAAATGACAGTAGCTCTTTACATATTGACAGATATCATTAGCTGATTGTACATTGCCTCGTTCTTAGCGAAGGTGAGATTTATTTTTTGAAATACATAGATTCCAAATTGAGCCGTGTTCAACATGGAATATAGGAATATAATTTCAATACTTCAATACCTGAATAGCTGCATCCAGCGTGTCGATGAGAAAGCTAGGAGTGACATGGGCTTCCTGTCCATATCGAGAATTAAACTCAGACTGGAACTGAGCAAGAGCACCGATGTCGTCTGTGGCTTCTTCAGGCATTAGAGGACGCAATCGGGTCACTGTAGGAACATCTAACAGAAATTCGTCGTCCAAATTCTCTGAAGCCTCTTCGTATTCATCCACCTAGATGATTAATTATCAGTGAATAGTTTATGATAGCACGATACGAGAGTGCAATGTTGAATTCTATAGGACGTTTATTAGCGCCTTTTGCTTTGAACAGACCTGTAAACACATCCACTATATCTAACAATACCTAGGATGATAGTTTATTTGAAAGAGCCGAAATCTTTCTAGTTTGTCACTGCCTAACCAAATTATTACAGTACTCCCAAACAGGGGCGCAGCCGGGATTTTTAAAAATTTTCAGTGCCGCTTGTAATAGTCACCATGATCACGGGCTCGTTAATACAGCCGCCTTTTCAGTGTATAACGAATTTTCTGTCGCGTAAAATATTCAATCCATGACAACTACGAGATTCTAAAATGTCCTTATATATTAATTTAATTGTGTCGAACGTAACTCGCGGTTGCGACTTCTTACGTACGTCAGAATAAAAACAATACTGCAGTGAAATGCCTGATGCATTTAATTTTGATACGTACTTTTGCAATCTTGCAACCTCGTTATCGCCGATAGTAAAATCTCGATATATGATTTTAAATCACGTTTAGTACAATTTTACTTCATACAATGAAAATAGATATAAAGTATACCAATAAATCAAAAATACAAATTCACCGCTCCGAAACCCACACCGAACAGTCGCTACGATTACGCCACTTGTTTAAAGAGCCGGCTTTTTCAACGAAAAATGGTTTTTCTCTTGTGTAAAGTAATCAATCCATGACCGATAAGGGCATATTCAAAATGTCCTGCTTTATTAATTGGATTGTCTTCACTTTTAACCTGCGGTTGTGTCGAGCCGTCGACAAAACAATAGCCACGCTAAAACACCACAGAATTCAGCGGACAAAAAAATGTGTGGTAAACTGCCCGATCACATATTGTTTTAACACTGAATCCGTTCAATCGCAATGATGCCACTCCAATTATTTTAAAAAATAAAACCTTTCGAAAAATCTTTAAATCTGCCGTAAATTCTCATGGAGTAAAATTTATTTCAGTAGAATGAAATTCGACTCCGAAAACCACCCCCTGGCCGTGCCACTGCTCCCAAAGTATGCGTACCAGGTTAGGGTTAGGCCTGTGTTAGGACTGTCTGTGTTAGCCAAGGGAATATACCCCCTGCCTATAGCAATCAGTCCCTTTACACAACTCGATATAAAATCCTTTGTGTGTCATGCTTAACACGAGTCACAGTTCCAGTGTCTGCCATCTTGGTACTCAAAGCACCCTTATTACACCTCGCGTTGGCGTGGGATTTGATTAATGCATTAAGCACTAGACCACAGTCAAATTGTTTGGTCAAATTCTTATAGTGGTTGTTGAAATATAGCTTGCCCCCAAAACCAATGGAAGAATCGATTTGAAACTATCAGGTGAACATAGTTATTACAAACCTCCATATTGTCCTCATCTGCTGTCAGGTCAACAAACGTAGTCGATGTCGCTTTCGTCTCTGTTATGGAACACCTGTAGAATATTTAAGAATGACATAGCCATTTTGTAATTTCAAAAAATGGAAGGAAAATTTTTTTGTCTGCACTGTGGAAGGCACATCTCACCCACAGACCAAATTACAGTCCCAGCTGCAAACAATTACATGTAGCGTTCATTTGAATTTGGGGCTTTCTAGTAGTTGCAAGAACAAAACTTTGGTTATTGATCTTGTGACATGCGTTGTTCGTGTCGCATTTCGCAATGCAAACAGATTGGAATAACCTACTCGTACCAGATTAAAATAAATAAAAAACTAGCTTCATGATCCACAAATCATTTAAAATTTGTACTTTTCCTCAAGTCGCGCAATTTTTCATTGTGGGCGGCATTTGGCCCACGGGCCACAGGTTGCATATCCAACGCAAAAATATTATATATTTACCTGTGCTTTGGTAAATTAAGTCCAAGACTTCCCAGAGTTCTGTCAGGAGTCAGAAGACTTTTATCTGAAGCTAAGGTATTCCACACTTGCTTGCTAGGTGGGATACCGGTGAGAGAGTGGGCATCAAAAGTCAAATCTTGAAAGGTTTTGGACCCGAGAAAATTGAGGCTGTAAATACTTTTAGTCCGTATATCCGTGATTTCTAACATATAAGTTTCTTTGAGTTTGTCGAAATCGTCTTTGAAAGCAGCGCAAGGCACTGCAAAGTCTTGAGAGGTCCCTACCTTGTCACTGAGGCCGAATGCAGCACCGTTATGAAATGCTGAACTGCGAACCGTCAGAGTCACATTTAGGGGCAGATGGAGAGAGCCGAGTGCTGTGCTATCGGACATTATGTCCGTGCCTGACTGCGGCCAGCCATCAAATCTTGCTTCGTTTTTTGGTATTTGTAATTCCATGGATGCAACATCTCGCAGCGTTCCTAAATTTGCTGACTCATCCAGTGAAACATGCCTTGTCGTGTCATTCAATCGCACTTCGAAGTGTATCATTCGAGCTGAAACACAAGGATCGAAGTTGATAAACAATAAAGCATGAAAGCCTTACCAGCAACAGTAAAACTCTTAATTCCTTCTAAGGCCTAAAATTCAACAAGCCACAGTATTTAATGATGTGAAAAACACCAATATTTCTTGAAGGACCAAAATTGTCTTAATTCATTACATTTGGGGTGTTTGGAATAGAATTTGAACACAATATGTTATACCTTGCAATGCTAATAAAGTTGGGTCCACGCTTTAATAACAGCCAGGCCATCGTCTCTAAGATCTGAAGAACCCAATCAGTGATGGCAAGAAATGATCATCCCACTATTTATATTTATTCCAAATTCTGGAAATACTTCCACACATGGGTGCAGCCAGGTAGGGATGCGGTTACGATAAAATCACTTAAATCATCGAATTCAAAAAGCCGAGGCCCATCACTAACATATGATGAAAAGAAGAAATCCCTGAACATAAGAAACTAGAAACTTACGTTTGCTTGTCGAGGGCTCAGAAACAATGCCAAAGTCAGTAAAGAAGTTTTGAGAAGAGAAGTCTTCAGTCACTGGTTGTTGGGGCGATGGGGAGGAGGAAGCTGATAAAAAGATTTAAAAAAGTTGCGACAGCTTAGTAGTGTGGAATTCACTCTCTCATAGCTGTTTCGATATTCATATTTTTTATTATATATGTTTAGTAGAAAAATTTTCGCTCCAAACAAGACCCTTTACAATCAGCCAGTGATATCTAACAATGAAAAAGTCGTGACATTTCTGCTAGGCCATCGGACCTTCCTCATTATTTACTAATGAGCAGATTTAAACAATAATTCTTTATAATTCTTCATGGCACTTTAGTGGTCATAGGTTGTAACATTGCTCAGAGATCATTGACCTTCTTTTATAAATAGATAGTTTCGCTTATAATGATGCATTTCCATCAGTTATTTTATGCTTCATATTTAATAATAGGAACCCAAAATAGCAGACAAATGTATGCATCACAGTCAGTGAATCAAGCATATCATAGGGAGTGTACTTTCAATGGTACCTAGTGGACGTGTCAGCTTGTGGCACAATAACAACTAATTTATGTCCCCCTAAATAGTTTAAGAACCCACGACTGGACAAATTTTTCTCTTATTAATGACTCACCAGCCAAAGCCACATTGACAGCTTCATTCATATTCCAGTCGCATTGTTCAAGATGGGCGATGCATTGGCTGATATCTTCGATTCCTGGGTGAAATAAGATTTTCAAAATTAAACTCTAGTCGCCTGAGGATTCGTTTCTACATATAGATCCAAAAATAGCAACAACATTATAAGGCATACAGGTATACAGACTTTTCACTGTCTGAATGATTTTCCACTGATGTTACGCCTATTGTTCCATTCTGATTTCTAGGCGGCAAATGATGATTTCAGATATGACTTCCATAATTTTAAATTTTTCGGTCATGAAAAGTAAATTGAGAAACTACTATTTGAGCGGTTTTTGGTAGAGCTCGACCGATATCACTTTTTAGCACCGATACCGATAACGATATATCGGCCAACTAGTGACCGATAACCGATATCGACCTACCGATATCTACAACCTGAACCCACAGTAAAAACAAATAGAAAGAAAAATTCAGTTTCAGTCAATGAAAAGTTTATGTTGAAAAATAAAGCAGTCCTACACAGTGCTTGCAGCATTGATAAAAGTTTCACAGCAATTAATAGGAACACACATTAATGCACAAAACAGAAGGCAATGTTTGAAAAAACCTAGCACGAAAGAAAAAAGGCAGTCAGTAAAAAGCTTGTAGAAGTCCATTTTGATATTCTCAGAACTATGGATAACACAGTAAGTAACCTACACAGTGCTTACGGCATACTATAAAAAATACTCAAAATAAGTACTAAAAAGTTTTCACAGCTGATAATTAATGAGAACAGTGAAGAAAGGTTTAGAAAAGAAACAACAGTGTCAAAGAAATGATGCAGTCTGGAACTAAAAATATGATGTAGTCACTACTGATGAAAGAAATATATTAGAAATGTGGGAAATTGAAATCCAAAACAGTCACATCAGAAAATTAGTATTTCCATCCCAAAAGTCTTAAATTGTAGTTCAAAAAGCAGAGCTTTTCTGCATTCTCGCCATGCAGCGAACATCGCCTATCACTGTAGATGTTCCCAACTGTGCTGAAAACTCTTTCGCTTGGTACAGTAGTAGGTGGGGACGCAAGATATTTTCGAACAACACTGGCAAGAATGGGGAATCTGATTTTGTTTTGCCGCCACCATTCAAGAGGGTCAACGTTTCGGCTTACCACCGGCTCACAAATATATTGATCCAGCTGACTATATTCACTCGTGGAGGCCGACTCTTCATTCCTGAGCAACGTTGCATACATGATGTCCACTGTGCTGGTACTGCAGCTTGGTTGATTCGAAGCATCAGGTATTTCCATCCCTCGGTTATCAGCACCAAGTTCATAACTGCTCATCTCCTCTTGTAGCCAGTCTTTTGCTCTACTCTTTGCTGAAACGTCAGTGAAGGGCCTGTCTTTGTACCGCGGATCCAAAAGACATGCTATTACCACTTGTCTGCACTCATAGAGTGAACTAAATCTCCGATTCAGGCCATCTAACAATTCTGTCCGCATTGTTTGTATGCCACGTGTCGAAGGGCCCACAGACTCTAGTAGCATCTTCAAGACATTTACACTTGGGATGATAATGGAGATACTCGCAGTTGCCTTGCTGACTTCAAGTGTAATGTCATCAAAAGGCTTCAATGTTGCAATTAATTTCTCTCCTATCTCCCAATCATTGGCGTCGGGCATTGATATGTGGCCATACTTGGAAGCATAAAATATAAGTGCATGCTTCTGCTCCAACATTCTCACTAGCATATGTACATTCGAATTCCAACGTGTTGGGACGGACTGCAAAATTGAGTGGTCTGGTAAGTCAAGAGACTTTTGTATCTCCTTGAGGTGTTGTTTTGCTATCACCGAGTGTCGAAAATGAGTTGCAATATTTCTAAACTTTGTTAAAGCATTTTTGACTGCTCTCTGGGAATCAATTCCATTATTAATCACCAGCTGCAAACTGTGAGCAAAACAACTCAGGTGGTCTACTTCTGCAAGTCGCATGCCTTTGACTATGTTTGCACCTCCGTCCCTAAGAACAAGAAATACCCGATCTTTTTGAATTCCCCAGTCGTTAAGCATTTCGTCAAAGGTCTCTGCGATATATTCCCCCGTATGTGAGCCTTGCATTGCCTTCACATTCAACAGTACTTGCTTCCTCTCCCAGTTCTTGTCAATATAATGTGCTGTGAGGCTCATTAAAGACTCAGTTGTACCTGACCAACAATCTGTTGTGAAAGATATGTTGCCAGCTTCGTCATGTGTGAGCATTAGCTTCATTTTTGCCACCACTTTCTGGTGAATTTCCGGTAGGCTTTCAGTTCTGTAGAACTTTTCAGTTTTTAATTTGTACCTAGGTTCTGCAACATTGAGCAACCTCTGGAAACCGATGTCGCTTACTATTGTGAAGGGTTGATTGTCGGTGGCAATCATCTCAATGATAAGCTTATCCATGACTTTGCTCTTGTCCTCTGCACCGCCCCACTTTTTGACAGAATCGAAAAGATCCCGCAATGTGGGCTGATCTGTTCTGGAACGTTTGATGCCAGCCGTTGGCCTGTTGGTTACCTGCAGTTCATCATGGATGTTTCGGTGATGGTGTTTGAGGTGGCTCCATAAGTTACTTGTATTTTTCTTTTTTGATTCATCGGATCCTTGCTTTATTATCGCTTTGCATATTTTACAGGAAACATTTTCACTTCCGGCAGTAAAGTATTCCCACACTTTGGATCTATCTCTCGACATCTTGAACAACAACACACGCAGCTTGATCGAAATTACAGCGATGAATATAATAATGACGCAAAATTCGCAATATGACACAGCTCTAGCTCACGTTAACTCAGAAAGGTGAAGAAATGCAAGCTGGCAAAGTAACAATTTGCAAAAAAGCAATTTTGCTGGCGGTACAGAACTGGAGCGCGCGGCTCAGTGAAGCGTGCAGAAACGTGCGGCGAGGATTTTGCGCCGCACGAAGAGATAAAAGAGAGAGAGAAATATAGAAGAGAACTCTCTGTAATTGAAAGGCAAAATGAGAGAAGCGAAAAAAACGCTCGGCCGCAGATATTTCCCGGGGAAAAGACTCGTTTTTTAGAACGTGGAAAAGCGACTAACGCCAATATATATCGGCCAGATATATCGGCCGGTTGGGCCGATATGATATATCGGTGAACACGCAATATCGGCCCGATATATCGGTTGGCCGATATATCGGTCGAGCTCTAGTTTTTGGAATAAATTAATTTAGAAATTTTCAAAAATCATTATTTTTTTAAAAATGTTGAATTCGACAGAAAAACAATAAAAAAAATTTCAATCTTTTACACAATATGCAAATCTTGTTACAAATAATTTATTGGTGCACATTTATTGCCAAGGATTTCATCGACCAGTCAGTATTGCTGTATTGACATATACCGCTACCTGCGGCACTAGTACAACTCTCAACCCTTGACGCTAGCTATGTAATGGGGTCTGGTATAGTTTAGTACCACATGCACTGCTAGTTGGCCTGGCTCAACAACTTTTGCATATATCATTCCTAACCCCCACCTGACTATGTAACCAAAAATTATGTCACTACGACGCCACAATGACGTAATAAATACCTACAAAGTGTACCGATGGTCGTCCAAAACGCGCAGACGATCACCCGTAATCGAGCCTATCTCTCTCATTTTCTCGTCGCAACGATCCCGATACAGCGATATGAGAGAGACCGCTGGCGTTAGTGAGTTAGCCATTTCGGACGATAGTAGCTATACTTGGCAAGCTCAGTGTGATTGTATTGTCGTAGTGACGTAATTTTTGGACGACATAGTCAGGTGAGAGTTACGAATAACATATACAAAATTCGTTATGCTATGCCAAATGGAAGTACTTGTGGTACTAAAGTATACTAGACCCATGTAATGAACGTAGAACAAAAGCATAACTCTAGTCTAGTGATAAAAAATATCTGCTGGGCGAAACGTCCGTGGGGCAAAATTTCTGCATAAGAAAAGTTTATTGGCATTACCTGTGCAAGCTTGGAAATTTGCCAGTATCTCATTTCTATCCATTTTGTCAGCGCTAAGCTGGTCCGAGAGTTGTTAGATAATAATATAATCCAGCAGTAGTTTTTAAAATTTTAGGTTTATTGTACTGTTTAGAAAGCTCGATTCCTTTGGAAAATTCTTTAGTACTGAAAACACAGCAGCAGTCAGATAACAGAGTCGATAATATTAAAACTGAAAGGATAAAAATTAGAAAATAAAAGTTTATTGACATATACAGATATACCTGTATACTGGGCATAAGAATTGTTAGGCAGCTGATATTTTCAAAGTCCTAAACAATCTTCCCTCTAATTTTTTGTAGTATGTGTGCGCAGAAATTTAGGTGTGTGCGCACTTTTTTGGAAATGACCAATATTTATGCAGAAACCTAAGAAGAAATTTTGGCATTCTAACTGGGTAATGGGTAGGCCAACAACAAACTTTCTCAACCTGCCAACCGAGAACATTGTTACATGATATCGGAAATAC